GTGAGACCACTTTCGAATTTTTCGCTATTTCTGCCGTCAAAAATGATGAGTTATGCGGTTGAGATTAGTAATAGCAAGCTAGTGAGTGATTTATTAGTAGAGAAAAAAGCATGGGAAATGCTCTGCATAGAACCCCATACCAAACTGAGGCGAAAAAAGGGCGTGGTCGGACGAGTTCCCACTTTTTGCCGTCAACTCTTTTTCTTTATCACCTCGCTTTCGCCAGTCGAAGAGGAGAGATTTAAAAACGGAACAACCGCCCCACCAGGAAACAGTTAAAAATGAACGTTGGGCGTCGTCAGTGGGCGGGGCGGCAGCTCTTTCACGAGCGGGTGGCGCTTTCCGTCGTAATTTTTAGCTGCAAATTTAGTACATCCTCCATCCCTGTAGGGAATTGTATTCAGAGAAAGTGTGGGAACACCAAATGAACGCGGGCTTGCCTTCAGCGACATATTCCACGCTGGTCATGCCAGCCACAACTGTGCCTTTTATTGGTGCGCTCCTCCTCTCTACCATGCCAAGAGAGGGCGAAGCAACGACAGAGGCAGGAAATTAATTCCGACTCCACCCACTCCGTAAGCGTGGAATGTGCTCCCAAGAGGAACGGAGCGTAACCTTTGTATGTGACCTCGGTGCACATCCAGGTGTTCAACAATTCGAGCTTAGAGCTGAATGCTTAGTGTCTCCGAAAGTTTCTCTGCGTCGAACGTTTTGAGCCACTGAGTTGCCCTTTGTACCTTATGAGAGTTTCAGCCTCCCCACTCCACTGAATGCGGCGATTAATTTTCATTGCACTGCTGGCCTACCATGCTCATGCATCACCACCAATGTGCCATTGTCCTAATGGCGGTCTTGGAAGTAAGTACTTTACAGCTCGAAAATTTATTTTAATATAAATTTATTCAGCCCGATTCCGAAACGATTACCTTTATTTCAGTTCCTTGTCCATCACCGATTCAGCTTGGCTGTCCTCCCACTGCCTTGCGGTGCCCGCCGCCTCCACCATGTGCGCCGTTCCCCCGGTTAGAAACATTGATGCCACTTCGGTGGACATCAGGTACAGTTATACAGTAGTCACTTCGTCGCTCTATATTTGTGGTTATTTTTATGTAACAACATAGCGCTGACTAGTGAAAAGTGGAAACACACAATAAAGTATTCCTGCAAGGGAAAGGGCGTGTGAAGGGGCGTGGATTGGAGCGCAACAAGGGTAGCCTTCCCCTCCAGTCGTTGCGGAGTCAATGACACCATTGGTGGAAAGGGCGCCCTGGATGTTTTCCAGACCACGCCCCTACCACTTCTTCTCTTTTAGAGTGATGACAGTACAGAGCTCGTATTTTCGAAAAATTACATCCCATATCCCGGAAATGGGAGGGCGTGGCTTGCTTACATTATTGGAGTGTGAGGCTGTGCTCATTGGTGAGATACTGCAGTTTTGTTGTGGTTTCATAATCATGTCTCTGTCCAGCACAATACACGTCTCAAATGGAAATATCTCATGAGAAATGCTTGCTATGTCATGTTCAAACAAAATGTG